GAAAATAAGTTATTTAATAAAAAATTGAATAAATTTTCAAAATTACACAAGTACAATAAATTTTCCAAAATTTTCATAAAATTACATTTTTTAATATTAAAGACAATTTAGTGTGCTTTTAGAAATTTACCATGTGGTTGATACTCAATATATCCTTTTAATCATTTCTATCATCAAATTGAATATTGGGTTGATGGGGACAGTGTTTTCAAAACTGAATCAAACTAGATGGCTAGATCGGAAAAATTGAGAACTGGACACCGTTTCACCTCAAAACCGCTTTTTGTCTAAAAACCGTTTATTTGGTTAGCGAACCACTGACCTGGGCGATCGAACAGTCAACCCAGACAATAGATTTTGGCATTTTTTGTTTTTCTAATTTTTTTTTTTTGTCAAAGCGGGTCATCTGTTCAAATCGAATAGTCGGGCCATTCAACCCCAGAACGGTTCCCTATCCGGTCCAATTTTAAAAACCTTGAACGGGGAGTAGGTGCCTTACCTTGAGCTTGGCTTGGTGTGTGGCATGGCCTGGTCCATGTACCAACCCGACCCATGGCATGGCACTAGCCCATGTGGACTTGGGCCGTGGGCCATGCCGGACCGACCCCCCAAATTATCCTAGAGGAAGAAAGCACGGCCTATGACGCCTCGTGGGCCAGCACGGAAGGTTTAAAGGGATTGTATTTATCCCTAACTCTTGTACATTCTTATCCATCTCTGTTGTATATCTTCTTATCCTCTACTTTTCTATTTACTCTTGTACTCTACAAAGCTATGACAGCTATTGTATAAATAATGGTTAACACAGTCAATGAAAATCATCTTTTGATCTCTCAATTATCTCTTTTATGGTATCAGAGATCTGGTCGTGAGCAATCTCTCTCTCCTCCCTCATCATGGCTATTTCCAACGAATCTAATCAAACCAGCACTACTCAAACTCATGCCCCTGTTTTAGTTTCCATCAACCTCTGCTCGAATATGCAGCCCAATTAATTTCTATCAAACTGGATCGTCACGACTACCCACACTGGAAGGACATGAACTGATGGGATATGTTGACGGTACTGTGAAGTCACCCCAGAAATACCTTGCTTCATCAACCTCTACCATAGCATTAGCAGCAGAACAGATTGAGAATCCATCATACAAGGCCTGGCATGTTCAAGATCAGCTACTGTTGAGCTGGATCTTGGCTTCCCTGACAGAGCATACATTTGCCCCAACTTGTAGGATGTACAACATCTCACCAAAGTATGGTCTCTTCTTGAAACCCTCTATGCTCCAAAATCAAAAGGCTAGAATCATGCAATTGAGATTCGAACTAAATGAACTAAAGATCTCTCTCCATGGGAGACTTCCTTCTCAAAATAAAGAATATTGCTGGTGCACTCTCTACAGCCGGAGAACCTCTGTCTGAAACTGATCTCATCTATTAAATCATAGAGGGTCTTCCAAGCGACTATTATAACTTCAATACTGCGGTTCTTGCCAAATCTGATGAAAATATGAAATCAACTATGATGACTTGCAATGTACTAAGCAGCATGATATCAAAACCCAACGCACTCGCAAGTTTATTGGAATTGATATTTCTGCAAACACGGCAACCAAAGAAAAAGGCACTCGTCCTCCTTTTGACTACACTCGTAGAGAGAAAGAGAAAGCCTCACAATCCAATAGAAAATACAAGGGAGCCCATGCCAAATCTGTAAGTTACCCAATCATTCTACATTAACCTGCCGCAGTAGGTTCTCACCAAAGAAACTAGTTGCTTACAATATAGAAACAACCCCATCATCTGTCGACAAGTGTTGGTATCCTGATTCAGGAGCAATACATCATGTCACTAATGTTATCTAGAATCTCAAACTTCATTCTTGGTGATGCACAATCTAATCGCTCCTTCGTGTCTTGTGACTTGGCCCAAACAACGTTCCGATCTAGCAGTGTTGAGCTGATGTTTGTGTGTCCAAGTTGAAGCAAGCTGCGAAGTGAGAAGGATGAGAGTGCCCAAGTAGTTTTACCCGGGGTGAACACTCCGATGCTTAAATTAGTATTGGAATCTCTTGAGAACGTGTAAGAGATCTATAGCATATCAGTGTGCATACCTTTCTGGGTGGATTTGGACGTCTTATATAGACCCCTGGACTCTGGGGGCTCAGGGTAACAGTCTTGAGCTCTTTGTGGAATTGTTTCCTTATTTTCAAGTGGATTAAGGTGTCAATTGAGAGACTTTCGTGGGAGTTACGATCCATCCAAGTGAAGTCGAGGCGCGCGACACAGTGAGTCATTTTAACGGCCATGCTATTGGCGCCTTTGGTAGCGAGCTGTTGAGGACAATTAGCGAGCTCTTTCTCGCAAGTCGCCTTAGGTTCTCTCAACTCGGTCGGCTCCTAGAACAGGTCACCGTAATTCTACGGGTCTACCAGATCGGCCTTGCCAAGATGGAATTGTAGGGGGTGGTTAGCGAGCTCTCCTTAGTAGGTTGCCTTAAGTCCCTACAGCTCGACTGACTCCTAGGACAACTCACCGTAATCCTACGAGGTCAGCTAGTTCAGTCTCGCTGAGGTAAAGGTCAGCCTGGGTGAGATGCTCTGAGCTAATTTTACTGAGCAAGCTCGCTGACTTGGCACCGAGATGTCATCCAAAAGCCACATTTCGCTATACGATTGGGAGGACCAAATTACCCCTCATCAATTGCCCCCACTCTCGAGCCAGCATTAGCTTGGCGAAGAAAGTAACTCTCAATAAAAGTAATTGGTCCGGCTCGTTCAAAAGTCGCTTGCTTTATTAGCTCGGTCCGAGGTTGGACGGACCGTGGTTTCTTCTTTAAACATCAAATCTGGGGAAAAAAAGGGAGTGTGCGCTGATTGGTGTAGGATGTTGGCGTGTTACTGGCATTCATCGCATCTCAGGACCAACTCAACCGCATCTGCTTTCATGGTGGGCTAGTAGTACCTTTGTCGTAAGGCTTTCCGAGCTAGGGCCCGGCCTCCCAAGTGTCCTCTACAGAGCCCTTCATGGATTTCGTGCAGCACCTGGTTTACTTCAGTTTGTCATAGGCATCGCAAGTAGGGCAATGTGAAGGACCTTCTATAGAGCAGCTTGCCCACTATCACATAGCGAGCTGCATTTCTTTCTTTTGGCAATATTCCTTATCTTATGTAGTCGAAGATTGGGTCTATCCAGCTCGACTCTGTAATATGTGAAAAATCTTTTGTAGACCAATTGTGGACAGCTCGTCTAACCTGCGCCTTATAGACTTAGCGAGGTTCTGGTAGACTTTATTGTCGAGTGACTCAGAGTTTGATCGATGAGGACAACAATGGTATGGGCCTGAAAGTAGGGCCTTAGTATCCGAGTTGCTAGCACTAACACAAAGGTGAGCTTTTCTATACCAGGATATCTTACCTCGGTGACATGCAAAACCTTGCTTACGTAGTATACTGGTTGTTGTATCCTGTTGACTTCTCTTAATAGGACCGAGCTAACCACCTCATCACTCACAGAGAGGTAAAGTTTGAGCTCATCCCCGGTCTCAGGTCGGGTTAACAAGGGAGGCAAACTAAGGTATTTTTTCAGCTCATCAAAGGCGATGTGTTGTACAAAGGTGGAGGGGCTTGTCATTGAGTCGAGCTCTAAGGTGGCAAGCTGTTGCGCCTGCTTTTTCTTCGTGGCAAGCTGTTGCGCCTGCTCCGAGGTGACCTGCTTCTTCTACGAGATTTACTTCTCTTATCTTTGTTGTTGCTGCTTGTCTCTTCCTCAACTTGCTTTCTCTTTCCGATCAGCTCGGACCAGCCTGACTTACCACTTTGCTATTTACCTTACTTTCTTCCTTGCTCACTTTGCTTCCTGATGCCTCCCTGGTTGGAGTGGGCTAGCTTTTCTTCCCAGCACGACCGTTAGAACGACTCATCGTGTCGCGCACCTCAACTTCACTTGGACGGATTGTAACTCCCACAAAAATCTCTCAACTGACACCTTAATCCAAATGAAAATAAGGAAACAGCTCCACAAAGAGCTCAAGATTGTTACCCTAAGCCCCCAGAGTTCAGGGGCCTATATAAGACGTCCAAATCCACCTAGAAAGGTATGCGTAGTGGTATACTCTAACTCTCTCACATGTTCTCAAGAGATTCCAATACTAACTTAAGCATTAGAGTGTTCTTCCCGGGTAAAACTATATGGGCACTCTCATCCTTCTCACTTCATAGCTTGCTTCAGCTCAGACACATGGACATCAGCTTGGTCATACAGCTCAGCACTGCTAGATCGGAACCTTGTTCGAGCCAAGTCACAAGATACGAGGGAAATGTCAGATTGCGCGTCATCAATTCTGAATACACTGGACCAGATCAACTCAGAGTTGGAAATGGATCAAGTTTGGAAATAACTCATGTTGGTACTACTTGTATTCCAAGCATTGAGAAACCTCTACTTCTTAATGACACTTTACATGTTCCTGAAATAACTAATAACCTGCTATCTGTAGCTCATTTCACTGCTGATAATAACGTTTTCTTTGAATTTAATCTATCTAACTTCTATGTGAAGGACCGGAACTGGAAGAAAACACTTATGGAAGGAGTAACTGATCATGTTCTCTACGAATTACAATCCGAACCAGCAGCTTACATTGGTGAACATGTTGACTTGGATACATAGCATCAAAGATTAGGCCACCCATCATCACACAAAATAATCTTCCTGTTTTATTGAATAAAGAATCTTCATTTTGTTTAGCATGTCAGCTTGGGAAAGGGCATCGTTTACCTTTTCTACCTAGTTCATTTCAATTTACATCTCCATTGGAACTTGTAATACTCAAATATGTGGGGACCTGCCCCTATTACTTCAAATTAGGGTTTTCATTATTATGTTTCATTTGTTGATAGATTTAGCAGATATACATGGATATTTCCTTTAATAAATAAGAGTGATGTGGCCTCTGTTTTTGTTACTTTCAAAATCAAGTTGAAAATCTCTTCAATTGCAAAATAAAATTGTTTCAGACATATAGTGGCTCTGAATACAAGCCTTTGAAACCCTTAAATAAGAGTGATGTGGCCTCTGAATACACCCTGTCCCCACACTCCTCAATAGAATGGCACGGCAGAACGCGAATATCGCCATATTGTGGAATTTGGTCCTGCACTCTTATCTACTGCTTCAGTACCGAAATCCTATTGGTTTGAGGCCTTTCATAATAGATTACCTACTAAAGTTCTCAATTACAAATCACCGTGGGAATGCTTATTTGGATGCAAACCTAATTATCTCTCTCTCCGAACATTTGGGTGTGAAGGCTTTCCATATATACGCTTATATAATGATCACAAGCTGGATTTTCGTAGTACATCTTGTGTCTTCATTGGCTACTGTGAGTCTGTGACAACACCAAGGGATTCAAGTGTCTTCAGACGGATTTATATTTCTCGTCACATGGTGTTTAATGAGAAAAATTTCTCATTCACTGAACAGCACCGGTGCAACTCTCCACCATCACAGCACTGTCTTACTCTTGGACCGCTGCCACTTGTCCGTTTGCTGCCATCATCACCACATCCACTGTCACCATCATCCCCTTCACCATCCCATCACTGTCTCACCACCACCTCGCCTGCAACCTCTCCATGACATTATCTTTCACACCAGTCCTCTTTCCTCTCTTGAACCCCAACAACAACCCCCAGATCCCTCATCACCTGAACAACCACTCACCACTGAACCACCATCGGATGTTTCTCTTCCATCTACAACACCACCAAACCTGCACAACCATCATCCCACATCACATGAACAGTCATCCCCTCCACCTTCCGTTTCACCGGAACCCGCTCCAATTGCCCCACCTCCTCCTATCACTCGTTCCCATCCAATGCTCACCTGATCTCTTATGGGAAATCTCAATCCAAAACTCTACCACTCCACCAAGTACCCCTTGTCCCTTGACAGCACTGAACCCAAAACTATCCACCAAGCTCTCTCGCATCCATAGTGGTGTGCAGCTATGCTGGAAGAATTAAATGCACTTCATCAAAATGGCACCTGGTCCCTTTGTTCTCCCCCTCCCAATGCCAATCTTGTGGATTGTAAGTGGGTCTTTCGTATTAAATGAAAACCCGATGGTACCATTGATTGATTCAAAGCTCGTTTAGTGGAAACCTTGATTATGCAGACACTTTCAGCCTAGTTATAAAACCCATTACTGTACAGGTAATTCTTCATACTGCTCTCTATAAAGGTTGGGTGCTACGCCAACTTGATGTGAACACCGCTTTCCTTCACGGTGATTCATAAGAGGTTGTCTACATGTCTCATCCCCCATGCCCCACTGACAGCACTCATCCTACTCATGTTTGTCGATTATGGAAAGCACTATATGGGCTCTAACAGGCACCTACGGTCTGGTATCAAAAACTAAGTGATTTCCTTAGGGATTTTGGATTTCTTGCCTCTGTTGTCGATTCCTGTCTATTATTTATACATCATTCTTCACTTGAGACCATGCTTGTTCTGGCGTATGCTGATGACATAATTGTCACGGTGTCCAATTCTGCTGCAGTCTCTACTCTTATCTCTTCTTTGGGTCGTGTTTTCTCCATCAAGGATTCGGGCTCTCTTCATTATTTTCCTGGGAAGGTCCTCCACACCGGCCATTCACTTCACTTATCTCAACACAAATACATTGCTGATTTTCTTCACAAGACATAGATGGCCTCTGCAAAACCGGTTACCACTCCATGGCTGCTGGTTCCACTCTCTCCAAGGATGTTGGTTGTCACTTGCCAATCCCACAGAATACAAGCAAATTGCAGGAGCACTTCAATATGTTAGAATCACATGTCCTGAAATCTCCTTCACAGTGAACAAGTTATGCCAAGTTTTACACCACCCCACTTTAGATCACCTCCACACTCTCAAGTGCGTCCTTCGATATTTGAAGGGCACGATTGACCTTGGCCTCACTTTCACCTCCTCCTCATTCCACCTTTCAGCTTTCTTAAATGCTGACTGGGCAGGCTGTCGAGATGATAAGAGGTCTCATGGTGGCTTCTGCATTTATATTGGACCCAATCTCATCCTTGCTGAATGTTGGACCGAGTGGCCTATGGCCTTCAATATTTATCATCCTCAACGTGTAGGACTATCCGTAGGAGTGGCCTATGGCCTTCAATATTATGTTGGTCCAACATAATATTTATCATTCAATATTTATCATCCTAAATTGTAAACACAATAAACATCTACCAAAGAATACAATAATCTAAGCATAGAAAATACTTATGCCTTGATCATAGGTTTATCATGCATGAGAATTACCATATAACAATCTGTAATTTAGTCAATAGTATAATGCTGATTATTGTTAAAGATAATAATATTTTAGCACAATTTTAACAAACTACCAAATAATAATAATATTTATTATCCTAAATTGTAAACACAATAAACATCTACCAAAGAATACAATAATCTAAGCATAGAAAATACTTATGCCTTGATCATAGGTTTATCATGCATGAGAATTACCATATAACAATCTGTAATTTAGTCAATAGTATAATGCTGATTATTGTTAAAGATAATAATATTTTAGCACAATTTTAACAAACTACCAAATCTAAGGGTTTAAGTATAATATTTCAGTATAAAACCCCCCGACTGTAAAATCAATACGTGTAAATTTCTGAAGCTCAAAATTCAGCATAACATAGAGATAAAAACAAAATGGCTACCAGTAAAAGCATTAGAGAAATGGAAAACAAGTAGAAAATATCTAACAAGATACAAAGGAAAGTATCTTTGCTCACCCATAAACCATGGATGAAATAAGGTCACAACCTGTTGTTGAATGAACTATAGGATCAAAGCAGTCCTAAGAAACAAAGAAGAGACACAAATAATCAGAAAATGATTAACAATACTTTGCACATGCCAAATCAAATAACTAGAAGAAGTCTCCATAAATTTAAAAAAAAAAAAAAAATCCAAAAGCTTGGTAGATTAAAAAAACAATAACCAAGAAAATGAACTTACAGATTCATTGCTAATAAAGGCATAACATTTAAATCAATTGTTTTCTAGATGGAATTCATCTTGCTTAGTTTCATTAGGTGAAAGAAAACACATTAATTGTTTTCTAGATTTAGCAAAGGCACAAGCAAACATATGAAGACACACAGAAACATGCACCTATTGTTATTAATGACATAATGAATTTATACCAGTCTTAACCAGAGTAATAGGGATGTAAGGCAGAAGATCTACAGCTAGAGGATGGAAGGAAAACAAAGATATTAATGTTTATTCCCTTTTAGTCTGAAAAACTACCCCTTGTCAAGGAACCTCCAATAGCCTAGTTATATCTTCATGGTAGTATCATGGGCAACGAAGGTCCATCTAGAGAAGTGGGCTTTCAAAAATTTAAAGATTTATGGGCACTATACTCATGTCTAATAGGATGGCCAACTCTACAAGGGCATAAGTAATTATTGTACTACAGGGCATTCAACTAGCCAAATCCATGAACTATAAGAACTTGGACTACTAAAGGAGGCTCACATGTTGTCATATGATGGCAAAATGTAGTCCTGGTTGTTGGTGGAAGGACTGTTTGGCTGCACTGAGAGATTGATAATGTCCACGCCATCCTGAACAACCTATTTATGTGACCATTAAACAAGCAATTAAACAACAAAAAATGAGAAAGTATTAAGCAGAAGCGGCAAGTTGATAGGAACCATGAATTGCATCATTGTTCCAGAAAGAGAAGGCTTAGAGGTTGGAATTAATTTTCACTGTTTGAAGTGTTGGACATTATATACTTTTGTTTTGATAATACAATGAATCTTGTTATCTATCAAAAAAAGCATTGAAATATAGTTGAACAATAGTACAAATGCATTCAATAAAATGTGAATGCAATATGACCAATTCAACCATCCAACTCTAGAAAATTATTAGTTGCATCACAATTAAGATGAATGAACTTAAATCTTAACTGTGAGGTATAGATTTCAAATTTGGTAAAGAACAAATGTAAATGACCACATGATCAAAAGTAGTGGACGATTCCGAGCATTCATTGAATAAGGAGCGGATATCATTATGCAGTAGCATTTCTCTTCTATTTAGATGATATTTTATCAATCTATTGCTATACTCTATTTTACCGTGACACAGTACACGAGGACTGCAAACAAGTCCCATATTTGGTTCCATTTCAAGGCTCCAATGAACAGAAAGCGGAAGTTTGTTGCAGTAGTAAGAAACCCATCACTGTAGTAGTAAGCCTATGGCACATTCTAGCAGAACTAGTCCCAAGCTCCAGATATCACTCTTGTAGCCATATTCGTTTCCTACTATTCTCTGGTTGTGGAACACAAATTCTAAATAAACAACCTTTACTAGACAGAAGTACTTATTTACCAGTAGCACCACGAAAATGCAGAAATATCCTACAAAAAAAGGAGTAATTGTTGCCCATGAATAAGAGTAGAAGTACTAACAAACATGTAGTTGTATGTGCCAACAAAAGTATTTACCAGTCCAGAGGTGTTTGACAATGTAGCACTCACACCAAAGTTAGTTATCTTGACTTCTCTATGATTTATTAACAAATTAGAAGGCTTCAAGTCCCTGTGGATTATGCGCTTGTCATGATGAAGATACAACAAACACTAGAGCATCTGCATGTATGAACCTACAGTTCAACTAGAAGAAACTAACTACATGAATCTATAAATCAAAAATTCAAGGAAGAAACAAACAACACTAACCTGTTTACAGATGGTGGCAAAATATGGCTCTGGAATTATTTTGACTTTCTTAAGAAAATCTGCTAGAAAACCACCATCCACATCCAAGACAATTAATATGCCACCGTTATAATAGAAAGATTGGTAACAAACAACCACATATGAACATTGAGCTGACAATCTGTTTTAAGTCTTACCAAGAACCACCATCCTGTACAATCTGTTTGCAATTATGCTCCTGGATGTTCATTTGTATAACCTAGACCAGATTTGGTGGATAGGAAACTGAATTAGTTGGTGGATCGGAAACTATTATTAAGCCCCCTAAAACTGATTTAGTTAGTGCTTTGGTCGATTGGAAACTAAAAGATGCATACTACTGCTATAAATGGTCAGATCATTTCATTAATCCTTTTTTTTTTCAAAGGCCAGATAAATTGTTAATAGGGCCCACTAGCAGCTTGGCCCACCTCTGATGACAAGGGAAATAAAATTCAAAGACAATATATGAGGCTCAACACAAAAACCATCAAGAAATCCAAAATGTAGGAATGACCATTCAGTTGACTAGTATCATATGCATTGGTAAAAATCTAGCCCATGCATTTGTGCAAATAATCATCATCATCAAAGCCTTGTAACAACTATTCTAATTTCTAAAAGCATACATCAACAAAAGATTATAGTTTCCAAAGCCCATGCATCATGGTTTCCAGCAAAAAATTAATTTCAATCAATACCTAACTTGTGGAACTATAACATCTTTCAGGGCATTATACCAACGGTTAGGTTCCAGGTTCAAATTTTTAAGTACTAAACTTTATTTTGATTTAGATACGAGTCCAGGAGCTAGGATCCAAGCCTGATACTCAACCAATCAACCACATGTTTTTTCAGAACCTTGGGGGATTGGTGGAAGACAAGAAAACACAAAAATCAACCTAAAACCCTAAACGTCAAAGAAATCTGAAGAGAGATACGGTCAGAGATTGAAAATAGAGAAAGCCGCTAGAGAGAGATAATCTACTCACCTGAGAAAACCTAGACCAGACTCCTCTGTCCAGAGCTTTAGCCTTTAAGGTTTTGGTGGACTTTCAAACAGTTTGTGGAGAAAAGGAGTTCATCCACATTGTCAGGCCGATCTTCTTAAGTCTTCTCCGCCAATGAGACTTCGTTCAAAACTAAAAGAAACGGATAGGAAACCCTAACCACAATGAGATCTGAGGTGTAACAAGGTATTGAAGTAAATCCAACAAGAAAGCTAAGGAAAAAACAGAGGAAAGCACAAAGAAATCTAACGAATTTGATGAAAAAATGAGGAAAATAAGATGATAGATCTTCCTAGAACACACCAGCTTCTGTCGTAGCTTACTCGATTTTTCTAAAGCACTTCTACTTGCACCCCGCAATATATGAGAGAAAGAAAGAGAGAATATGGAGTAGTAGAGGGTGGTCGATGATGTCAGAAAAAGAATGGAGCATGGAGTTTGGGGAGAGGGACAGAAGGAGATCGAATTAGCTCGAGATGAGGGAGGGAGATGGATACAAAGAGATTAGCCATAGAGGGAAATTTGAGTTTTGCTCTCGCGCCTATATGTTGGTGGGACATCGATAGTAGCAAGTAGCAACGGTGGATTGGGTGTCAGTTGTTATAAACAATAAATAGCTATGGAGATAGCTACGGTTTGTGTCCGTGGCTTACATATTGCTACGGTTTTTAACCACAGTTTGTGTCCGTAACCATATTTCTACCGAAAAATAGAGTACTTGCAACAGATAAATAAGCCCGTTGTTACAAACCACCATATAACTACGGTTTTGTCCGACCGTGGCTAGAAATCCGTTGCTAGATACTAATTTTCTTGTAGCCAGCCGTATGATACCCAACCCATCGTACTCATCCTGTGTCAACATTGACCAGTTAATCCTCAGTTGGATAATCTTTTCCCTCTCAGACAGCGTGATCGGACAGATTATTGGACTCAAGACATCGCATGCTATATGAAAAGCTCTTGAGCAAGCTTTCTCTTCTCCGGCTTCATTTTCAACTCATGACACTCAAACAGGGCTCCTCCTCTATTACAGAATATGTTCGACGGGTTAAAAACACTGCTGACCAAATGCTAGCTGCATCAGAACCGGTCCCAATGCGTGATCTACTTCTTAGTATTCTCGGCGGATTGGGATCCAATTTTGATTCCTTCATCACCACCAGACCAGATTTCTCCTCCCTAACTATTGAAGACCTTCACGGATTCCTATGTAACCTAGAGGTTTGGCTTTAACAGCACCATCCCCCCACTCCTGAACCTCTTGCTCCCACGACCAATATTGTAACTTCGTCACAACCTTAGCAACACCCGCAGCATCTGTTCCAACAATAGCAGCTCCAATTCAACTCCAACAAAGGTCGTGATCGAGGATCTAGGGGGTGTGGCGGACGCGACAACTTTATGAACTCTCACCAAAACTTTCAACCACTCCTGCAATTCAATCTTGGATGGCCGCAAAATTTTGAGTACCAACAAGTTGACAACTTTCCTGTTTGGTGTCAACTATGTAATAAGGCCAACCACACGGCCATGCAATGTTACCAGCGTTATGAGATTGTTCTCTCCAGTGGTTTCAACAGCAACAACAACACATCCACTTCTGGCTCTCAGGCGTTTCAAGTCGGATTACCCCAACATTAGTCCTATGATTCCACTTGGTATCTTGACTCGGGAGCCACCTTCCATATCACATCGGATTTGACCAATCTTTAGACTCGCTCAGACTAGGAACAGGTTTGGGTATTTCTCATGTTGGTTCTTCCTCTTTCACATACAATGATCCGTACTTTTCTTTTAAATCATCTGTGTCATGTTCCCTCCATTACTAAATATTTGTTATCTGTCAATCAGTTTACTCTTGACAACAATTGCTTCTTTGAGTTTCACCCATCTTACTTTCTTGTGAAGGATCAATCCTAGGGCAGTATCCTCCTACACGGAACCCTTAAAGATGGCCTCTATCAACTATCTTCTCCTTTGTCTTTTGTTGGTACAATTTCCTTAGATACATGGCATGCTCGCATGGGACATCCAGAACTCACAATTGTTCGGCATCTTCTTTCTACTTTTCATTTACCACATTGCAATAGCTTCCATTTCATAATGTTCATGAATGCTCTAAGCAACCATTAGATTTAATATTCAAACATTTGGGGACCTTCCCTTGGCGTTTCTTTTAATGGTTATTGATATTACATTATTTTCATATATGATTTTAGTTATTTCACATGGATCTATCCTCTTGCACAAAAATCTGATGCTTTCTATGCTTTTTTGCACTTATAGATGCTTGTTGAGAATATCTTTTCTTGTCACATTGTGTTCTCAGTCTTAACTAGGGGGGTGAATATCATACTTTCTTCTTCTCATTTTTCCAAATGTGGTATTGATCACCGGTCTCTTGTCTACACACACTCATGCTCAAAACGGTGTCCCAAAGCGCAAATATTGCCACATTATTGAAACTGCTCTTGCCTTGATGTCCAAAGCATCCATGCCATTCTCTTTCTAGGATTATGTGGTTGATACTATTGTCTACCTCATCAACAAGCTTTCCACTCCTTTTCTTGGTAATCTTCCCCTCATGAGAAACTCTTTCGCAACTCTCCCGACTATGCTTCTCTCAAAATTTTTGATTGTGCTTGTTACCCTTTTCTTCGCCCTTACAACTCTCACAAGTTTGCTTATTGATCCTCTTAACATACCTTCCTTGTTTACAACTCTCACCATAAGGATTACTCATGTTACAATCCGCTCACTAAATGGATTATCATAAGCCATGATGTTGTCTTCGATGAGCGACTCTTCCCCTTTGCCTCATGCTCATCATCTCCTCCCTTTACTTCCTCCCAGGATTCTGATACAACCATCATTGCTCCCCCTCTCATATTTCCAGTTTCTTCCCCCGAACTGACCCAGACTACTCCTCCCTCTTCTTCCACTATTTCAACACCTTTGTCCTCTCCACCTCCGTGATTTCACAACCTTAACTTCATCATGTGTGCCACTCATCCTATTTCAACTCCCACTTCTTATCGCCCACAATAGTCCACTCGACACCCTCTTCCCCATGCCTTCCTTTCATTATCCTCCACCCCGTCTGAACCAACAAGCTACTCCCAAGATGTTCAACATCAAGATTGGTGGACAGCCATGAACGATGAATTTGATGTGCTTATGTGCAATGGTACATGGGAGTTAGTACCACCCTCTCCTCATATGAATGTTATAGGTTGTAAGTGTGTTTATCGCCTCAAGTATAATGTTGATGGATCTCTTCAACGGTACAAAGCTAGGATTGTCGCTCAACGGTACAAAGAAGTTTGACATTAATAATGCATTTTTATATGGCAACCTTGGCGAAGAGGTTTATATGAAATAGCCTCAAGGGCTTGCCAACCCTCAATTTCCCTCTCATGTATGCAAACTATGAATGGCACTCTATGGGCTAAAACAGGCACCACGTGCATGGTTTCATAAGCTTAGTTCCACATTATCAAACTTTAGTTTTATCCCTTCTAATGCTGACTCCTCTCTTTTCATTTACAATCAACATGGTGTGGAAATATTTGTGTTGGTTTATTTTGATGACTTATTAGTTACAGCTAGTACAACAGGTGCTCACTCTCAGTTTGTTCACTCCCTAGCTGATATCTTTGCCTTCAAAGACCTTGGTGCCTTGCATTTCTTCTTAGGTATCGAAGCAATCTAAACTGATAATGGCGCTTGTCTCTCTCAAAAGAAATATATTCTTGATCTCCAACTAAAGTGCAAGATGGATGGTGTCAAGCCAATGTCCACTCTGGCTCCTCCAATTTATCTCTCTCCAAAGCTAATGGCACACCACTAGCCGATCCATCCGAGTATCGAAGTGTAGTAGGTGCTCTCTAATACGCCACTTTTACTCAACCAGAGATATCATTTGCAGTAGACAAAGCCTGTCAGTTCCTACAATCCCCCACTGATGTTCATTGGAGCTTCGAAAAATGTATCCTCCGCTACCTCAAATGTTTTCTTGACCATGCTCTTCTTTTCAACTCCACTTCCTCAACTTCTCTCATTGGTTTTTGTGACGCTGACTGGGCCGACTGCCTTGACGATCTTCGCTCCACCAGTGGATATGTTGTTTATCTTGGCTCTAATCTGGTTTCTTGGCAAGCACACAAAAAGGCTGAGTTCCAGGCTCTCGCTAAGTTTACTATTGAAATTGTGTGGTTTCAGTCCCTTCTCACTAATTTGGGAGTATCTCTCTCCTCACCTCTTGTTATATGGTGTGACAACATCAGTGCCACCTATCTTGTTGCCAACCCCATATAACATGTTCACACAAAACATGTTGAGATTGACTTCTATTTCATCCGAGATCGGATTACTCGCGGTTTACTTTGCATCAAACACATCAATTCGGCTGACCAAATTGCACACGTCTTCACCAAGAGCTTGTCTTCCACACGATTTCATCATTTTCGATCCAAACTTAATGTGGTTTCTCACCCATTAAGTTTGAGGGGGCGTATTAGTAAAATAACATGAATCTCAGAAGGACTCTATCACTTAGTGTCTTAGTTATCCTCTTATCAGTAATTTGTTTCCTAATCGTGTTATCTTGTTAGGAGTATGTTTAGGATTTAGGGTTTAGGGTTTAGGGTTTAGGAGTATGTTTTTTACCCGAACTCTATCATGTATAATTAAAAATATTGATTAACATCAATGATAAATTTTTTAGCCCAGGCGCTTCAAGCTGTCACTCTTGGTGAGCTCGGATGAGAGGTATTCATTTTCCTAGAATGGAGATCAAATGGTTGTATTAATTTTAGCAATGGTGGTAGTGGCGACCATGTGGGGAAATGTGAGTGAAGCAAAAGGGAAAACGGAGAAGGTGTGCACCAAGGGATGGGAGTGCCAAGGCTCCATGTACTGTTGCAACCTAACCATCTCCGAGTACTTCCAGACCTACCGGTTTGAGAACTTGTTCTCCAGCGTAACAAGTTGTTGTTGAGAAGATTATTTCTCGACGGGAATTTCTTGAACAAAAAAGGCACTAAACAGGTTTTTTTTTGTGGGTTGTGAGTCTCTGATAGCTTCACAGATAACTGTCTCACTTAAACAAGAAACCAAGGGAAAAAACAAGTAGCACTAACTACAGTTACAATTGAGGGGAAGTGAGATCACATGTTGGATCTCTATTTGTTTTGTCTAGGTCTATCGCTGCAATGACAAAAACAGCATCCGGATGGGCAGTTGGGGGTAACATAGAGAGAGATGGAGAGAGCACAGAGAGAGAGGTTTGATGAGAAGAGACTAAGGGTAAAAGGAACACTTTATCATTTTGGCGATGACAATTGTCAGAAACAATAAGAGTGGTTTAAGACAATAGATAAACAATAAGAATATAATTTAAAAAAAAAAATTGCCCTAAAAGAAAAGAAGAAAGAACATTAAGAAAGGTAGCTCAAAAATCAAGTAACACCCCCATTCGAGTAGCCATGGTCCATGGGCTTAAACCGTTAACCACAAACCTCGATATTTGATATATCCCAATGGCGGAGCCAAGGA